CTCATACACTATGGGGATGGTGAGAAGGGATATATTTTACATCCCAGAGGGGCTATAATTGGAGATACTATTGTTTCTGGTACAAAAGTTCCTATATCAATGGGAAATGCCCTACCTTTGAGTGCGGTTTGAACTATTGATTTACGTAATTGGAAGTAACCAATTAGGTTTACGACGAAACCTAGAAATCGATCACTGATCCAATTTGACTACCTCTACGGGATAGACCTCAACAGAAAACTGTTGAGTAACGGCAGCAAGTGATTGAGTTCAGTAGTTCCTCATAGAAAATTATTGACTCTAGAGATATGGTAATATGGAGAAGACAAAATTGTTTGAAGCACGCACAGAACCGGAAGCGCCCCTTGTTTCAAAGAGAGGAGGACGGGTTATTCACATTTAATTTGATGGTCAGAGGCGAATTGAAAGCTAAGCAGTGGTAATTAAGACCCCCGGGGGAAAATAGGGATGTCTCCTACGTTACCCATAATATGTAGAAGTATCGACGTAATTTCATAGAGTCATTCGATCTGAATGCTACATGAAGAACATAAGCCAGATGACGGAACGCGGAGACCTAGGATGTAGAAGATCATAACATGAGCGATTCGGCAGATTTGGATTCCTTTCCTATATATCCACTCATGTGGTACTTCATCATACGATTCATATAAGATCCATCTGTCTAGAGATCGTCATATACATCTAGAAAGCCGTATGCTTTGGAAGAAGCTTGTACAGTTTGGGAAGGGGTTTTTTGAGAGAAAAGAAGAATCTACTTCAACCGATATGCCCTTAGGCACGGCTATACATAACATAGAAATCACACGTGGAAGGGGTGGGCAATTAGCTAGAGCAGCAGGTGCTGTAGCGAAACTGATTGCAAAAGAAGGTAAATCGGCCACTTTAAGATTACCATCTGGGGAGGTCCGTTTGGTATCCCAAAACTGCTTAGCAACAGTCGGACAAGTGGGTAATGTTGGGGTGAACCAAAAAAGTTTGGGTAGAGCCGGGTCTAAGTGTTGGCTAGGTAAACGCCCCGTAGTAAGAGAGGTAGTTATGAACCCTGTGGACCACCCCCATGGGGGCGGTGAAGGGAAAGCCCCCATTGGTAGAAAAAAACCCACAACCCCTTGGGGTTATCCTGCGCTTGGAAGAAGAACTAGGAAAAGGAAAAAATATAGTGATAGTTTTATTCTTCGTCGCCGTAAGTAAATACGTAACTAGGAATATGGAAAATTGCATTTTTGGAATTTGCAATAATGGGATGGGCGAACGACGGGAATTGAACCCGCGCATGGTGGATTCACAATCCACTGCCTTGATCCACTTGGCTACATCCGCCCCTTATCCAGCTAAAGGATTTTCTCTTTTTTCCATTCATCATTATTCTATTTATTCTGACCTCCATACTTCGATCGAGATATTGGACATCGAATGCCACTCTTTAAAATGGAAAAAAAGGAGTAATCAGCTGTGACACGAAAAAAAACGAATCCTTTTGTAGCTCATCATTTATTGGCAAAAATAGAAAAGGTCAATATGAAGGAGGAGAAAGAAACAATAGTAACGTGGTCCCGGGCATCTAGCATTCTACCCGCAATGGTTGGCCATACAATCGCGATTCATAATGGAAAGGAACATATACCTATTTACATAACAAATCCTATGGTAGGTCGCAAATTGGGGGAATTCGTACCAACTCGGCATTTCACGAGTTATGAAAGTGCAAGAAAGGATACTAAATCTCGTCGTTAACTGAATTCAGAATAGAAAGATTCAAAATAAAAAAAAAAGAAATACCCAATATCTTGCTTCAGCAAGATATTGGGTATTTCTAGCTTTCCTTTCTTCAAAAATTGCTATATGTTAGCAGAAAAGCCTTATCCATTAAGAGATGGAACTTCAAGAGCAGCTAGGTCTAGAGGGAAGTTGTGAGCATTACGTTCGTGCATTACTTCCATACCAAGATTAGCACGGTTGATGATATCAGCCCAAGTATTAATAACGCGACCTTGGCTATCAACTACAGATTGGTTGAAATTGAATCCGTTTAGATTGAAAGCCATAGTACTAATACCTAAAGCAGTGAACCAAATCCCTACTACAGGCCAAGCAGCCAAGAAGAAGTGTAAAGAACGAGAGTTGTTAAAACTAGCATATTGGAAGATTAATCGGCCAAAATAACCATGAGCGGCCACAATATTATAAGTTTCTTCCTCTTGACCAAATCTGTAACCCTCATTAGCAGATTCGTTTTCAGTGGTTTCCCTGATCAAACTAGAGGTTACCAAGGAACCATGCATAGCACTGAATAGGGAACCGCCGAATACACCAGCTACACCTAACATGTGAAATGGATGCATAAGGATGTTATGCTCTGCCTGGAATACAATCATAAAGTTGAAAGTACCAGATATTCCTAAAGGCATACCATCAGAGAAACTTCCTTGACCAATAGGGTAAATCAAGAAAACAGCAGTAGCAGCTGCAACAGGAGCTGAATATGCAACAGCAATCCAAGGACGCATACCCAGACGGAAACTCAGTTCCCACTCACGACCCATATAACAAGCTACACCAAGTAAGAAGTGTAGAACAATTAGCTCATAAGGACCACCATTGTATAACCACTCATCAACAGATGCAGCTTCCCAAATTGGGTAAAAGTGCAATCCGATCGCCGCAGAAGTAGGAATAATGGCACCAGAGATAATATTGTTTCCGTAAAGTAAAGAACCAGAAACAGGCTCACGAATACCATCAATATCTACTGGAGGGGCAGCGATGAAGGCGATAATAAATACAGAAGTTGCGGTCAATAAGGTAGGGATCATCAAAACACCGAACCATCCGATGTAAAGACGGTTTTCGGTGCTAGTTATCCAGTTGCAGAAGCGACCCCACAGGCTTGTACTTTCGCGTCTCTCTAAAATTGCAGTCATGGTAAGATCTTGGTTTATTCAAATTGCAAGGACTCCCAAGCACACGTATTAACTAGAAAGATAATAGAAGGCTTGTTATTTAACAGTATAATATAGACTATATACCAATGTCAACCAAGCCAGCCCCGACAGTTGTATATCCATACAACAAAATTTACCAAACCAAAAAATTTTGTAAATGAAGTGAGTGAAAAATCAAAACTCAGATTGCTCCTTTCTAGTTTCCATATGGGTTGCCCGGGACTCGAACCCGGAACTAGTCGGATGGAGTAGATAATTATTCCTTGTTACAATAGAGAAAAAACCTCTCCCCAAATCGTGCTTGCATTTTTCATTGCACACGACTTTCCCTATGTAGAAATAGGCTATTTCTATTCCGAAGAGGAAGTCTACTAATTTTTTTAGTAGTAAGTTGATTCACTTACTATTTATTATAGTACAGAGAACATTTCAGAATGGAAACTGTGAAAGTTTTACCTTGATCATTTATCAATCATTTCTAGTTTATTAGTTTTGTTTAATGATTAATTAAGAGGATTCACCAGATCATTGATACGGAGAATATCCAAATACCAAATACGCTCACTGTGCGATCCACGGAAAGAAAAGTAAGTTGTTTTGGCGAACATCAAAGAAAAAACTTGCTCTTCTTCCGTAAAAAATTCTTCTAAAAATACCGAACCCAACCATTGCATAAAAGCTCGTACCGTGCTTTTATGTTTACGAGCTAAAGTTCTAGCGCATGAAAGTCGAAGTATATACTTTAGTCGATACAAAGTCTTCTTTTTTGAAGATCCACTGTGATAATGAAAAAGATTTCTACATATCCGACCAAACCGATCAAGAATATCCCAATCCGATAAATCGGTCCAAATTGGTTTACTAATAGGATGCCCCGATCCAGTACAAAATTGGGCTTTTGCTAAAGATCCAATGAGAGGAGTAACAGGGACTTTGGTATCGAATTTTTTCATTTGAGTATCTATTAGAAATGAATTCTCCAGCATTTGATTCCTTACTAACAAAGAATTTATTGGTACACTTGAAAAGTACCCCAGAAAATCGAAGCAAGAGTTTTCTAATTGGTTTAGATGGATCCTTTGCGGTTGAGTCCAAAAAGAGAAAGAATATTGCCACAAACGGACAAGGTAACATTTCCATTTCTTCTTCAAAAGAAGAGTTCCTTTTGATGCAAGAATTGCCTTTCCTTGATATCGAACATAATGCATAAGGGGATCCATAACGAACCATATGGTTTTCCGAAAAAAAGCAGGGTACATTAACCCAAAATGTTCCATCTTCCTAGAAAAGATGATTCGTTCCAGAAAGGTTCCGGAAGAAGTTAATCGCAAGCAAGAAGATTGTTTACGAAGAAACAACAAGAAAAATTCATATTCTGATACATAAGAGTTATATAGGAACCGAAATAGTCTTTTATTTTCTTTTTTCAAAATAAAAATGGATTTCATTGAAGTAATAAAACTATTCCAATTCGAGTAGTAGTTGAGAAAGAATCGCAATAAATGCAAGGATGGAACATCTTGGATCCGGTATTGAAGGAGTTGAAGCAAGATATCCAAATGGATAGGATAGGGTATTTCTATATGTGCTAGATAATGTAAGTGCAAAAATTTGTCTTCTAAAAAAGGAAATATTGAATGAATAGATCGTAAATTCTGAAACTTTGGTATTTCTTTTTCTTCCGGACAAGACTGTTCTCGTAGCGAGAATGGGATTTCTACAACGATCGCAAACCCCTCAGATAGAATCTGAGAATAAAACTCAGAATAAAAAAAATTGTTGTAATCCAATAATCGATCTTGGTTAGGATGATTAACCAAATTAATCCAAAAATTCTGCTGATACATTCGAATCATTAACCGTTTCACAAGTAGTGAACTAAATTTCTTGTTATTAGAACCAATAATTTCGACAAGTTCGGAACCATTTAATCCATAATCATGGGCAAACACATAAATGTACTCCTGAAAGAGTAGTGGGTAGACGAAATATTGTCTAGGAAATTTAAGTTTTTCACCCACACAGAAAATGATTCTATACTCCAACTCCTATGGAGTATGTACTCCCTCTCCCATCCACCGTTGATTAATCCATCCCAATCTCATGTGTGCTACCGGGTTTAGCAGGCAAACCCGTTTTAGTTTTTCGTGTTAAAAAAATTGCGATTAAAAACTGATCACGGTATATTCGGGCTAGTCAAACCGTTTAATCTGGGATTTAACACCGGGTATATGCATTCATCCAGGTGACGAGCCGGCGGTGGCAGTGGCGATCCCCGGACGACGATGTCGATCCAACATCGATTCTTCGCCAGCCGTGTGCTGCGATGGCGGCTAGCACAACCCGTCTTTCTAAGCGATGCGCAGGCAGATCCAACCCCATCCATCGAAATAGCAGAGACGGCGCCGCCGCCAGCCCGGCTCTTCGTCCAGGTTTCACGGCATGCGTGCCCCTTCGTAATCACCGGCGTACTCCTGTGCAGTGGCTCATCCATAAAAACAGCGGCGCCGAACTCCTGATCTCAAATCCCTGATGATGGCTTCTGTGGTTAGTGTGTTTGATGTGTAGATCTGTATCCTAATGTCCGACGAATGAAATGATGCTAAAGTTCAGATGTAATCCATCTTCATCTTCCATTCTGTTTTTGCAGTCATGCCGATGCGAGCTAGAACCATGTACACGTACCATGGAGAGCTAGCAGTGCAGGGCTGCAGGCCGACGGCAGAACGCCATGGAGAACAGCGTGACGGCACGATGTACACCAGCACCAGGTGATTGATGTCGGCATGGTGTTCGTATTTTCCTTGCATTTTCGTTCATATCGAGGATCCCTTTCATTTTTCTGTTTTTCGAGCAGATTTCATTTTTCTGTTTAGATCTACAAGCTGTGTACGAGAGTTTATGTTCTGGATGCGTAGAATTTTTCCCCCGTGATTTTGGTGGTTTGGATTGCATTCTTTTCAATGTCAATCTAATTTATTCTTCTGTTCATTGAATGATTAAGGTCCTGATTTCTTTCTTGCAGACGGCAGCCACCCGGCGGCAGAACACATTAACGACCTTAACTCAACCCAGCGATACCAGCCCATATGTGCAATGGGAAAAAGTTCTTGTTTAGAGATTGTGATTTGGCAGAATCGGGTATATATTACTAAAAAAAATCAGATCTGTGTTACAGTGGAGTATGGACTGTACTTTGTCTTTGTAATCAGCTTCACTTGTTCTTTTTAATTTGGAAATACATTTCGCTTTTTTGAATCTTTGAGAACAAATACTGATACTGACACTTTTGGATCATCATACATCCACGGAGCCCAGTATAGTTTGTGCTGGTGTGTACTGGAGTAAAAAAATAAATATACCGCTACTAACTTTAAAAATATACTATGTACGGCTACTAACATTCAAAAACAGTATTTATATACTGCTACTAACATAAAAAACAGTATATACTTAAAAAAAAGTATATACTACTATTGACTTAAAACACAGTATGTACTAATAAATAAAAAAAGGTATATACTATTACAGAGTTAAAAAATAGTATGTACTAAATAAAAAAGGTATATACTGTTACAGACTTGAAAAATAGTATGTACTTAAAAATAGCTGTATACTGGTATTGACTAAAAAAACAGCATGTAGTCAGAACGTATATACTGCTACTGACAAAAAGAATAGTATATGTACTTAAAAATATATACTGTTACTAACTCAAGAAAAATGGTATATACTAAAAGAAATATATATATATACTCCTTCAACAAGTAGTAGTATATACTGAAATAAGTAATACATACTGGCAAAAAAAAAGAACCGTATATCTCGGCAAAGATAGTTACGTATGCACGTTTAGCACTTTTAAAATTTTGAATGTAATCTGTTCAACCAACATGCACGGGTCAATTAATCAGTAGTGTATTTTTTTCACCGGATAAAATTCTCAATTGGATGCTAATAGAGGATCCAATAGGAAGGGGGAGTACATACTCCCAGGTGTACAAAAGAGGGTTCCTATTATACACTTTGTATATGTAAACTTTACATAGAAATTATATCTATAATTAGAAAGTTGAGTGCATAAATTTTACTAGAAATAAAAAAATGTTGATCATCTAATATTCTTTCCAAAAAAATATAATCCAATCAAAACAAACCTAACATAAAAACGATAAAAGAAAACGTTGATCTTTTCCCATCGCGTGAAAGGAAAACGAGAAACAAAAAACACTTTTTTTGGGCGCAGCTCCATTTTTCCTTTTGTCTTTTTCTGTTCGCTAGGTTCGCCGCCAACGAACGTTCGCGTATTAGACATACCCCCAATCGCAAAATATATGTCATCCCTCAACTTACAAAACCGGGTCACTTTGGGTCTTCAAGTTGTTTTGACTCCGGTTTTGTTCGTTGTGGCAGCTAAGTCAGCGTGAGACCCATGTGGGCCCTACATGTCAGTGAAACATTAGCTTCTCTTCCCCTTTGTCCCTTCTCCCCTTAGCCTCCTCACGACGCCGGATCCATCAGGCGTGTCGCCGCAACAGTGCCTGGCTCATCGGGAGGTCGAGGCAAGCCACCACAGCTAGATGCCCCGAGCTCTTGCGAGCTTACCAGCGACGGCGACTGCCAACACCGCCCCTCTTGCGGAATTGGAGGTTGGGAGGAAGTTTGAGGTCACGCAGGCAAGCTCGGGGTCGGAGAGGCCCAGGAGGATGGAGACCTTGGCAGCAGCGAGGTGAGCGAGGACTGTGGAAGGGGAAGGAGCGGTTGCAACGTAGGAGGAGGGAGACGCCATGGTGGGTGAGTGGTGACGTGTGCTGGTGGTGGAGGCGGAGCCACGGGTGGAGAGGCGATGGAGGCCGGCGGCATGGAAGGGTGGGCATGGGAGGCTGTTCGGCACAGGCGAGCAGCGGTCGACGTCGACTATTTGGAAGGGAGAGAGAGGAGAAGAGAGGAGAGAAGGGATGGGGGAGAGAGAGGAGGAAGAAGAAAGTGAATTCGTCGTAGTTGTCGTCGTCTAGTCATAAATCTTCACCTTGTCCGCCTCGATAACGGCCGAACCTCATCGACTAGACGAAGGCAGATGGTGCCGACGGGGAGAGCGAGGACGCCACTGTGATTGTCCATGGCTGCAGATATGGTGCCCGCGTGGAGGGGGGCCTTCCTGCTCCAGTGTCATCACAGCCACTGGCCACCTGAACTGCTCCTCTTCTGCCTAGCCCCGCCGACGTTCTCCCCACCCGCCAGCCGGCCTGCCCAGACGAGGAGAAAAGTGAGAGAGAGGAGGAAGGGAGAGAAGAGGGAAATAGAGAGGGTGATGACATAGTCACCCTAACATGTGGGGCCCACATGGATCCCATGCTGACTCCTGCCACTTTGGACAAAACTGGGAACAAAACCGTACAAGGATCTAGAGTGACTCGGTTTTGTAAGTTGAGGCATGTCATATACTCCCTCCGTCCCACAATATAACAAGCTTTAGGCTTGTGCACAGGTATTAAGGCTGTGTTCGATTCTCTCGGTTGGGACTTGGTAACTCATTCCCCCGCACAGAAAACGGAGCAGTCTATTAGCGTGTGATTAATTAAGTATTAACTATTTTTTTTAAAAAATAAATCAATATGATTTTTAAGTAACTTTCGTATAGAATTTTTTTTGTAAAAAAACACACCGTTTAGCAGTTTGAAAAGCGCTTACGGTGAAAAAAGAGGGAAGTGAGTTGGGAACCATGTGTACCGAACTTGGAATGCTATGGATCTTGTTTTCCGTGAGTGCCCGGACGTTATCTCAAGGTTCAACTCATTTGTGGGGAATTGGATTGGCAGCAAAAGGCAGCCTTTTGTATTTCTCTAGTTGGACCTGGCATGGATGAGAAGTTGAATCGGCCCATGTGCAGCCGTCGTAAGAGTCCCTAAGAGCAAGTACAGTAGCAGGCTATAAGCCAGCTATAAATATATTTTAAAAAAGACAGAGAAAGAGAGAATAGCAGTGGGCTACAGATCTGTAGCCAGCTGTAGCACGGACTCCAAGACGTACTGTGTGTATGATAGGTAAGATCAGATATTAATAGTATAGTAATCAACTATTATATAAATTAGCTATTATATTGATTATAGATGATTTGGAGCTAGTGGTTAGCTATACTATTAGAATTGCTCTAACACTAACATTCAGGATTTTATCATCCCGTGACATCTATACGTAAGGTGTTACGCGAAATAAGTTCCGTCAACTATTAGACCCAAGTTGATGGCTTTTTTTTTTAAGAAAAAAGATACCAACTTAAACTGGGACATGCAGAGCTCTGTAGGGAATCGTTCAGCCATCCGATACGTTGATCTCTGACGCTTGAAAAAAAAGTGGAAAAAATGTACTCGAGTGGTAGTTAGCAAATCACTAAAATCACATTTCCAGTATCAGGAATGAAAAGCTCAGAATGAAGATGGAAAAATTAGTGATTGAAAACTGTAATCACAGAATCACTCATGTGTTCCTATAGAAGATTTCGAAAATTATTTTATTTCTTCTATTTACATCCAATAGCTAGACTTATACATAATTATAAAACGGAAGAAATCCTATTGACAAGCACCTTATTCTATATTTTGCCATCAACGAACATTACTTCTAGGAAAAGCTATCATATAAGTCAACGTCTAAGAAATGTGATTGTTGTCATCTTTCCATCCATTGTACTATGCGAGTCCGTTCCTTTTTCTTCCAAATGCCCAAATTGTCCTCACTATCTTAACAAATCCGTATTTATCACATGTATGAAATTTGCCTATGATTCTATCTGTATTAAAAAATTTGTTAATATGAAATATTCTAGGTACATCAATTAGAAGATTAATTATCACATGAGCTAAAAATATAGTGGCTAACCAGTTGGTCCATGAGAAAACAAAGAAAAGAAAAGAAAAGAAAGAGAGCTCATAGAGCAGCAGCTGTTGGTGTGGTGTTTGGCGGCCAAGATGGCGTATTTCTACGTACACAATTACTAAAAAAAAGCGCGTCAATTGACGCCCACACTATTTTAT